CCAGCCCTACTGTACAGGGATTGTGAGCGGCTGATACCAGATCAACGGAAGATACTTCCATATAAACAATACGTGAATAAGTACAGAGCTACATTCATATATATCACTATTCATATATATATATATATATATACACACAGAGCTACATTCATATATATACAGGTGAAACTCGAATAATTAGAATATCGTGCAAAAGTAATTGCAGTAATTATATATATATATATATATATATATATATATATACAGAGCTACATTCATATATATATACAGAGCTACATTCATATATATATATATACAGAGCTACATTCATATATATCACTATTCATATATACACACAGAGCTACATTCATATGTGTCCCTTGTATCTGCCCGGTGATCAGATTTATATGACTGAGATTTGCATCAGAAAAGTGCTTATCCAGCGAGGCAACAAGCAAAGTGTACGCCCCCTAAACAACCAATCAGAACGCATCCATTCAAGAGTCCCAGGATGTCACCAATCAGAATGAACCTATTTAATCCCAAAAAAAAAAGAAACACTCCAGAACAGAACTCGTCTTGAACAGAAGGCTCCAATAACCAAACATTGGCCACGTCTGAAAAGATAAATAATTCTCTTTATTAGGAGCTGCCTTTGGTCTTGTACATGTGCGCACAGCGAAGGTCTGATACATACAAGGAAGTCAGATGTAACGACAGAGTAACTATTAACAATGACATGAAGAACGTTCAATACATTTCAGATTTTTTTTCTGCCTTTTTTCGAATGAAAAGTGTTTGAAAAGAATCCGCGCTGACTAGATTCCCGCTCTCCTCCTACAATGAGAACCATGGATGCCATCATCCTTCCATCGAGGGGCAGAGGGCTGTGTGAGGGTCCAAGCCCTTACATGAAAATCAGTCATTAGGAGATGTCAGGGGAGGTGCCGGCATTGATCTGATCCCATTCTAATAATAGCGTTAGACGTTCCCCTCTCTGAGTGGAAGTAGGAAGACCTATTGGTGCTGCACAACGGTCTATGAACATTAAAACTCTAGCTGTCTGATGTCATTTACTACTGAAGCAGAAGTTATATCTCACACCGAGAGACAGATACTTCTCCATCAATTTACACTTAGAAACTGTTTTATGTAGACAAGACGACTTAATATATTATATCTATCTATTTATCTATAGGTAGATAAACATCACCTGAATGATAAATGACTTCGATGTCAAACGACGTGATAAATAGCCGGTGTTCTATCAAAGTTTGCGACTACATTGGAATGTGTGACCGGTAATGTGGTTTATGTGAAACAGCCGTTAACGGCTGAAGTAACGAGCGGGTCTTTCCTGCCCGTGCGCGCGCGCTAGGGGGCGCGCACGAGCAGGAAAAAAATGCCGCCTGGAGACGGCAACCCGCGGATGCGAGTCTGCCGTCCGGCCGTTTTTTCTTAACGGGCGGACGGCAAGAGGTTAATGCAATCCTGCCCAGGTTTTCAGCGGTGGAATGTGTGACCGGCCATTAGGTCAAGCATTCCAATGCTTTGTCGGCTGATCCAGGGCAGATCGGCATCGCAGATCGCATGTGCAGGACAATTGATCTGCATTACCCCATCTGCCTGGAACAGTTGATCGGTCCTCAAATGTCACTTCTATCCGACTTCGTGAGTGCGGTGGAATGTGAGATTGCACTCACATAGTAGTGACATTTGAGAGCTGGTTCAGGCAGATGATCGTTTCTCCTGCACAAGCGCAGCGAGCCAATCTGGCCTGGAACAGCCGATAAAGCATTACAATGCTTGAACTAATGGCTGGTCACACATTCCACTGCCGAAAAACTGGGCGTGACCACGTGACCGGTCACACATTCCAACGTAGTCACAAACTTTGATAGAACACAGGCATTTCTGCTATATACAGATGGGGGGATTCCCATTCTCAGCTTACATTGGAAATCTCCAGTTTTAAGGACAGGCATGTCGCTCTGTACGATACCCTCGCCTTGTGCTCTGCCCTGGATCTGGCAATCGTGCCATGGCAGCCTACGGAGACTGATGGGTGCTCTGGCCGTGCAGGGAAATTTGCTGACAGGTTCCCTTTACATACAGGTCCGGGTTAGGTAACCTCCAGCTTCTGATTTCTAGGAACATAAAATGTCTGTACAGAAGGATGTCCCGGGGCTAATGATTTATATGATATATGTGGAAAATATGTGATGTGTGATTCACAGACCTGCGTATCATGACACATCTCATTCACACAGGAGTACGTCCCGGGGGGGGGAGAGGCTGAGGGGCAAATAAAAAGGCACAATGGCTCTTATAAGGCAATTCGGATTAAACTGACCTCCGCTGGTAGGCACAGCTTCTCTGTCATACAAAGTTTTATTAAACTTCTAAAAAGGAAATTTTAACCCTTTTGGTCACTGCCTTCTACAGACCCGCCCCTTCTACCATACAAACTGATATTTCATATCGGTCAGGAAGGATTTGTCCCCAATTGATGTAAACTGCATTGCGCTCAGGGAGGGTTTTTTGCATTCCTCTGGATGAGCTCCGCAGATGCAGATTTTCCAATGATTTATGTGTATTACTATTGGGTGAACGTGATGGACAATTTGTTTTTTCATCCTATGGGTAGATTTAAGCGCTCCACTAGGACTTCATTGTCCAGACATAGATATATAGCTATATATAAGACTTTATCATAGAGCCAACATGTTTCAGGAACAAGAAACTCCCCCTTCATCAGGGCTTGAATTAAGATATGTACTGGACTGCTTAAACCAGACAGACCAATAGCTGCTCAGTGCAAGTACTGTCTAGTACAGTCCTCCTATACCAGTGTGCTGTGCAACTCTGGGGGTGCTGTCTTGCTTCCTCTGGCGTGCCTCGAAATTTCCAACAGAGTCATGTGTTTACATAGTGCAGGCAGGCTTCTGATGTGAAGGGTGCTCTAAAGTGAGAGGGCAAAACCCTGATAGGAAAAGGGAGCTCTGATGTGAAAGGGGGGAACCCTGATAGGGAAAGGGTGCTCTGATGTGAAAGGGGGGCTATGATATAAGAAGGGGAAACCCTAATAGGAAAAGGGTGCTCTAAAGTGAGAGGGCAAAACCCTGATAGGGAAAGGGTGCTCTGATGTGAAAGGGGGGAACCCTGATCTGAAGAGAACTCCGATTTGAAGGGGGGCTCCTGATATGTGAAGGGGGGCTCCTGATACGTGAAGGGGGGACTTCTGATGTAGGACTATTCTGAAAGTAGGTGGGGGTTTCTAATGTGAAGGAGGCTCAATGTAAAGGGGGCTGTGAAGGGAAAGGTGGGATTGCGATGTGAAAGGGGGGCTCCTGATTTGAAGAGGGGATTCTAATGAAAAGGAGGAACCCCACTTTTTTTATGCTTTGCATGGGGAAACAGCCAAACGTCACTTCTTACATTTCAGAAGGGGGTTCCTCAACATTTTGCATACATTTAAAACTTCGGTACATATTGTTCCATTTCAAGCCCTGATGAATGGGGTGTTTTCTGACACCCACAATGCATTGGCTCTGTGATAACGTCTTTGATAAGATGGACAGATCGCTTCCAGTGCGGCACTTCATGCACACACTGACGCTAGTTACAAGGCAAGGAAAATGGAAATCCTTTGTTGAGGAGACCCTGTCAGCCCCAATTCCAGGTACAGTATCCAGCTACTACTATAGTAATAGGGTAATCCCGGGGTCCCAGCGCCATTCTGACTATGGAACGGTGAGCCTCCGTTGTACACTTCTCATAGTGCTTGTGCTGCTCTAACAACAAACCAGCCAAATACCTTTCATTCTTCCGGGTTAGTTAGAAAAAGAGAATTTGGTTTCTGCCAACAACACGGACAGCGAATAACATTTAATCACTTACTTTCCTAGACAAACATTAAAAAGAACAATCACACAACATAACATTGATCCTATGGCTATCGGGAAATAAACGATTTTTGGTCTCACAATGCATAGTAAAGTACGGTCAGCCGAGACTAGAAACCTTAATGAACCTCATGGATCTGGACTATGCCAATTTAAAGGGGACTGCACACTGAGAGAGGTCACATTGTAATTCATGACGACACTATTGGCTCCCTTCAGCCACTTCCTTTGAATGGAGCAAAAAGAGCCTAACGTGCTCACTTTTTAGCTTTGCATGTTTCTGTGTTACTGACTTTGCTGTTAAGAGGGGATGGAAGGGCCTCTATAGGATAGGCCTGTGTACAGGACAACCCCCCAAACTTCAACAGGAGCCTTAAAGGAAAACTCCACCAAAAAATAAATCTTGAACCTGATATTAAAAAATTGCCACAAATTCTAATCTTTCCATGCAGCTATAGTAACCGGGGTGCCGGCAGGTATTTCACCTCTTGGTTGTGTGACAGGCTTGCTGCTATTCCAGAGCAAGGCAGATGTGCTAAGCCGCTGTGCCGCATTAAACACAGAGACTGCTCAGGTGGATGTAATGAAGGAAGCTTTTCAGCTCAGCAGTCATTTTGAGAAGGACATGGCAGAGCTTATATTCTTTTTGTAAGAATCTCAGATATTTGCTAAAATACTTGCAATGTGCAGAGTACGCCCAGGGGGGAGGTTTTCTTTTCCTCAGCAAAAGCGGAGTGTCACTTCAAAGACAAAGAGAAACAATGTAACGTGTCTGTCAGTCAAACGGATGCCAGGCATTTCTGCACCGCTCTAGCGCTGCTTCATTTAAATTCTGAAACTTAAAACTGTAAAAAAGATACTAAAAGAATAACAATAAATAAGTCGAGACTTTGAGGTGGAAGACTGCCGGGGAGGGACAAGCGCTGGAGTCACCGAGGAAGAGAAGGAACTGATACGTGAAGGAGATGCCCACATGGGCCAATCAGACGTCAGAGATCATCGAGTGACCAGCGCAATGGAAAAAGTTCTTTTGTAGGAACGGATTACCGCCCCGAATTCTTTGTTACCAAACGCTTATCCCTCATTAAAGATGAGATCTGAGGGGAGACGCAAAGGGAAAGTCACTGCTGAGCACCATCTGGACAAAACCTCAAGTCAGAAGCGAGTGCAAACGACCATTTCAACAGGTCGAGACAGGAAGAACTTCAACTCCAGAAAAATAACAGAATGCGGCTCTTCCTCCCCACAGATCATATAACCTCAGTCTTTATACTCGATATATCTACGGCCTCGTTCCGCAGGTCTACCGCTGAACCGTTCTGCCAGGACTGCTCGGCCGCTGCTGTGATCTGCAGCGTGCAGAGGTATTGTTCTTTGGTGACTGCTGGGCATTCCTTGCCTGCAAAACAAATCAAGACATCCTTTGTGATTGCATCTCCACTACAAATGACAGCTGGAAATATATGTACACACTCGGTCCGTGAAGCCAACACATCTCAAGAGCTCGAAGACTCCCTCTTCATCGGGGCTTGGGGCTTTTATCACCTCAAATATGGCTGGACTCCAATGGACTCCAAAAATAATAGTGACATCTATGTGGAATCACTAGCAGCTATTTGCATTAGGTGCTCATTATTTGCGTGGTGATGTAAGTCCCAAAACCCGATGAAGGCAGAATAGTTGAAACCCCCGGAACGTGCCAGCTTCTTATTCTACTGAATATCTAATAAAACAATACTATCTCGGACTCTCTTGACCTATGAGTGGGGCCATTTTGCTACATCAGACATTGCTAAGGACTCCTCCTTCACTGGGGGATTTGCTATATGTGAGCAGTCCTAAAGTGACCCAGCTTGATATATACCCCGTTTCCCCGAAAAAAAGACCTACCCCGAAAATAAGACCTAGTACTATTTTTGGGAATTGCTAAAATATAAGACCTACCCCGAAAATAAGACCTAGTTGTGACCCTTCCCAGGGCCTGTGGTGGCATAAGGGGGAACTTGAAGAGCAGGAGAGAATCAGCGGTGCCAGCGAAACCAGCGCTAGAGGAAGCGAGGCGGCACCGGAGGGAACAGAGCCACATAAGCCGATGCCTCCTCTATAGCGCAAACTCCTCTCACAGTGATACCAAATGCACTCCGCCTGTGAGGAATCAATAGTGAAAGCGCGCTACACTCATTCTGGCCAGCGATTGGTTACCATATTGCTCTTGGAAAGGTACGGCACCCCCCGATTGCCCTGATCACCATATTTTTCTACATGAATAAGTGTAGATTGTTGTACATAAAAAAAAAAAAAAAGACCCACCCCAAAAAAAAGACCTAGTGTGTTTTTTTGAGGCAAAAAAAATATAAGACAGTGTCTTATTTTCGGGTAAACACGGTAAGATCGCCCGTCAGCACACAATACTGCATATTAAAGGATCATTAAACCCTCGCATGTTTTTGCATATATCTAGGTCCAGCAAGCAGAAGATATATGCAAAAACATTTATTAAAAAAAAAAAATGAGCCAAATAAGTTTAAAAACTTACCTGTGTCTCCACCGATCGCTCCCTTCCGAAAATCTGAATATTTTCAAGCGGCCGCCGAGGATCATGGGGCAGGCGCATGCGCAGTTCAGATCTTCGGCCGGGAGAAGAGGAGAGACACAGTGTAAGTCAATGAAGCAGTGTGCACCCGCACAGGCTCCGTGGGACAGGAAGAGAGGAGTCTGCGCTGGATCAGTAACCGGCACCAGTGCTGGAGGGACTCCTGAAAACTACGGGAAAGAAGATGATGATGATCGGACCAAGAGGCATCATTTAAGATAAGTCCTTAAAGCACCATTGGAAAGGGGGGGTGACATTTTTTACATTAATGTCACTTTAACAATTGAAGATCTAGTGCCTCCTATGCATTTACCTCATGATGAGAAATGGAGCAAAACAGTGGAAACTTATAATAATCGGCAAATATAGCCATAAACTCTTACAAGACTGTCAATGAGCAAAGTGATATATAACTGTATAAAGGATTGTATGAAGAGTGGAGCGGCCAAAAAGCAATGCGCACCGGCAGAGTGTAGAGCTTTCTTTAATATGAAAGGTAAAAAGAGAATACTACACTCACAATAGCAAACTCACAATTAAGCATTGAGCTTCATATCACTAGTAAGCAGATGTCATTATCACTAGTAAAGTATAAAGTGGTCAGTTAGGATTTACACAAACGCAGTCACTTTGCCCTGGATTGGTAAGGTGACAGGGTCTCTTTAAGCTGTAGAAGGAAGCAATACAGACCTTTGATGGTGCGTATAAAGTGCTGGAAGAGTTCTTTGTAAGCTTCTCTATACCTCTCATGGTGCGAATGAGAAATGGTTGGGAAAGATGAATTATTCTCTATAATGCTCAGGGGGTTCTGATTGTCCAGACGTAATGATCCCTGACAACCGTACAACTAAAGAAAAGAGAACAATTACAGTCAGTTTGGAGAAAAGAAAAATCAAGTTCATGCTTTGAACAGCTCACAACTACAAAAACCCAGCGGAAGTATGAAAGACAAACACCCTTCATACAGCATTGTCCAATCGGATCTCTTTGTGTTCCCTTTCACACAACATACATACAAATAATTCAAAAATACATTTTTTTTAACCTTTCTAGCGGTTTGTGTTTGGAGGCGGCTTCCAATAGTTAGAATAGATGTCAGTGTAAAGATGCGGGACAGACTGAGAGACAATGATTGAAAAAAGTGCATTGACATAGAATGCCTTGAAATCTTAAACTCTTTGTCAGGAGGTGGCAGATAGTCCGGCTCGTCGAGTTTACTAGTGATAATGAAATCTACCAGCACAGCACAGACAGGGTTAATTTATGGCAAACAAAGCTCCCCAGCCCCCTCAAACAGTGAGAACTAAGCAGGACTGTTCCGTCCTGGAGTTTCTAGAGAAGAGGATCTGGAAAGCTAATTGCAACTTTTGAAACCGGTGTTTCTCATTCCCTACTGCACGATGTATAGTGGAAGAAAGAAGGGTCTGTACTGGCTCAGATGGATGTGAATCTTAATAATAAAAGGGGTAAATTATGCTTTATGTGCACATTTCCATTGTATGTAGGGCCGCAGCTAACGATTATTTTCTCATCTAAGCGATTGGTTGCATTAAAAATCTCCCTCTGCCTCCCTCCCCCTCACCTTCCCCCCCGCCAACTAACTGATAATGAGAATAGTTGCCAACTACTCTCATAATTAGGGATGCACCGATATGTATCGGCCGCCGAAACACATCGGCCGAAAATGGCACTTTTGGCATAATGCTGAAAGAGCCATGTTTCGGCCGATACATCGGCGCATCCCTGGTTTCTTTTCTCCCCGCTGGGCACTGCTCTGTGTTACAGCGGGGAAAAAAGAAAAGTGACAGCCGGCCGAGCGCTGCAGGACGAGAGCGCTGTGAGCGGCCGGAGTCTCTCCTCCCACACCGCTCAGCCGCCTATCACAGTCCGGCAGAGCGGTGTGTGGGCGGAGAGAGCCAGCGCTGTCACAGGAGGCTGAGCTCACATCCCGCACCGCTTGCTCAGCCTCCTGTGACAGCGTGTCCGAGAGGAGAGCGGGTACAAGCAGTCATGTGATCAGTGATCGCTGAGCGTTTGTAGATAATTGAGGACAGAGTATGGTTACTATATCCTCAGTTATGAATGAATGGGAGTGATCTGCATCACCTCATGTTCATTCATAGTTGTCGGTATAATAAACATACCATACCATGTCCTCATGTTATCAATGAACAGGAACACTCATTCCTGTTCATTGATAACAGGGGATACAGAAAAAGAGGACTTTGTGTCCTAAATCTCTTTTTCTATTTTAAAAGGGAAACATCAGGGGTCTGTTTAGACCCCCCCAATATTTTCCCGAAGCCCCTAAAAGCAATGTAAAAAATTAAAATAAAAAAAACATTTTCTGTATCGGTTTCGGCCTGACAATTTTTTTTATTTCTGTTTCGTTTTAAAAATTTCCATTTCGGTGCACCTCTACTCATAATTGATTGTTGAATGAATCGATTAGTTGTTGCAGCCCTAATTTTATGTAGCCCGGCCTTACCTCCAGTCTCTGGTCGCAGGTTTTAGTGCAGTGCTGACTGATGTCCAAACTCACTATGGCTCCACTCGAAAACTTCATACTAATGTTCACAGTGTCCGCCTCCTTCATTGTGCCCAGATCTAGGCGAGAGAAAGAAGTATGAGTTCAATGGTTGCACTGTTACACAAAACATAAACTCCAGGCAGTTATAACTGGGGAAGGGACAATACCTGTGGCTGCAGCAGAAATATAACAGGCCTGCCAGACAGAGTTGTACTGTGTGGCACAGATGTGTAAATCTAAGGCAGAGATGTATAGCAGAAGTCAGAGTTTGCAACTACCTCCCACATCCCTACTTCCCCATCACCGTGGATGCCTCACTGGGGCAGGCAAGCTTCAGAACTTTTAGGAAGCATCAGAACTTTGCCTCCAGAACAGGTTGAGACTGCACTATGGTGGTGGTGCTGGTGGTTTAAAGGCTGCACATGCTTGCAGCAGGTAAACGAACTAGGAAGGCATGGCTACTGCATAATACACACAGGGGGGAATTTATCAAAACAGGAGCAGACAAAATCTGGAGCAGCTGTGCATAGCAACCAATCAGCTTCTCTCTTCAGTTTGTCCAGTTAAGATTTGCAAATGAAAGAGAGCGGCTGATTGGTTGCCCTGCACAGCTGCTCCAACTTTGATAAATTCCCTTCAGTGTGTTTTGGAGGTTAAGCATATACAGCCAGAGATTTATGTCACATAGCTAGGGATACTTTTTTACAACACACAGGCTGTTGGCCGCTAATGTTAAAGGTGCAGCAGATCGATCGGATGGCCCCGTATAGTACAGGAGGCAATCCTCCGTTGTCACCGAGGAAACTGTATAGGAGTGTTAAAGAGAAAATATGAACCGGTGTATAACAGATGACTTAGAAGCTTTCACATAGAACATTAAAGCTCTGGGTAAAAGAAAAAAACATATAAAAGCTAAAAAACATTTATAGAGAAGTGTCTTTTGTGTATATAAAAAGTATAATATACAAATCAAAGTAAGGCGGATGAAGAAGGAGGGGGGGAGGGGGAGTTCCGAAATAAAAATAAGGGTACTGAATTTCAGCTTTGAGTATTCTATGACAATGAGTCTCATACCAGAACAGAAGGCATGTCCCAGTGAAAACACGGTTTCGGGAACACTGACGCCGAGCAACCAGTTGACAATGTCGATATCGTGTAAAGCCGCGCCATAGAAGATGCCTCCTGTAGAAGTAGAGAACAGAATTAGTGCTGCGATTTAACATGTGTCCTTATGGGACTGACTTGGAAACTGAGAGCAATATGATTGGAACCAGGAATCACACTGGTACGTCTATCTAACATCTCCCAACCTGGGTGTATCCGTGTCTCTAAAACGTGTGTATCCCCTTAGCTTCGGCTGCTTCTTTTTCTGAAAAAACTTCCCCCCCCCCCCTTTACAGCCCCTGGACATTGCACTCAGAGGCGCTAGGCGAGCTCGGAATTCAATATTTATCATTTTATTACAGGGAATACATTATATTATAATACTGCAAACGTCAGCCCCTTCACACACATGTAGCTGCACACATGCACTTGTTAACACGCGCACCACAATGTGCACTATATGCATGTTATGAATGAATAATGTATACATACAATGTAATGCAATGCTTCTGACCATCAGTGCACCATATTCTGTGAATGTTCTGTGCGTTACGGTGTGCTGTGATGGGGAAAAATAGCACTGCGATTATTTCATGTGTTGAGGATTATGGTTAAGGACCCTTTCAAAGTGACCGGGTTGTGTTAGTGCATGACAAAATGTGTCCTTGAGGCTATGTTCACACCGTGTCCGGACCAGCTCGGGAGCACATCTGCAAACGCAGTGCAGTGCATTTTTGCAGCTCTTTTTTTAGCTTAAAATGGGCTTTCAGGTGCAGTCCAGTGCATTTGCATTTCCATATGTTCCAGTGCATTCCAGACCAGAGAAAATGAGACAAGCAGTATTTTGTTTTGTCTGCACGGGTGTGAACACAGCCCAGAAATACCATAGGGATACACTGGTATGCTTTTTGGTCTGGGAACAAACTGTTCTGGTCTGGACGTGGTGTGAACAAGCCCTGAAAGTGATGTTTTGTAAATTAGATTTTTGGGGGGATAAACGGGACACAAATACATTAACTGGTTTTATCAGCTAAACAAATTATTCATCATTTCCTTTAGCCAGTCTTGTGGTTCACATATCTCTACCACACTGCAAGGCCAGGCAGGTGACACCAGTACTTACTGGGTTAGTTCTTCAACTTCCCATTTCACTTGCCTGGCCGGCGACATGGAGACTTGCAAAAAATAGGAAATATGAATTCATTCATCACAGACTGGCTGGACCGGAATCCAAATCCTTTGCCTAACACAGTTCAGCTAAATATTTGTGTTTTAATGGTTTTGTAATGAAAATAAAGGTGATATGTTATCCAACAATGGATAACGCCTATTGCATGTATTTTCATGAGCCTCCTGTCTAACAATGTACACCGACAAGGCTTCCACAATGCTCTGATTATGCATCATGCTGTAATGTATACATTCTGCATAGGCTCAGGCCTGACTACAATAGATCAGTAACATGTATTTAGAGGCCCGGTATCTATACCTGACATCTTTATCCTGTTTAGAGGAATCGGAGGATACAGCCGACTGACTGCAGAAAGCCTCTGAATTCTTCCCAGGCCACTGGACTCATGAAGCTTTTTATATAAGTACTTAAGTGCCGGGTCAAATCGCCTGTGTAAGAAAAATGGTTCTCAGATTACTTTGTCATATGTGTTAAGTCATAATTAGAAAAAAACAGTAAGTCTAGCAGACTGTACACTTCAGACAAGGTCCGCTTGTGGCCACCTTTCCCCTTCCTTAAAAAGAGAACTATGGCCAAACCTTTCTTTAATTCTCTTTTAGGTCACAGGAGAGTATTTACTAATGTCCTCCTGTGACCCAAGGTCAGCATATAAGGGGCTACTGCACTGCAGTCGGGAAAGATCCCAACAATATTGTCAGTATGCACTCCACTGCTTTATTGACAGCTGGCTCTGCCTCTCTAGAGCCAGCTGTGCCCGCACACTCTCCCCTGTCTGTCCTTCTGATGAGCGCTGAAAGAAAAGAGAGAGGGGAGGGGGGAATCCCTGTAGGGAGCAGTGACTGACAGTCACCGCTCTTTGCAGGCAGAAGCCGTGAGCTGAGTGATCAGCAGGTTGTGTCTCCGATCAGTTCTCGAGCCTTAGAGCCGCCGTGTGACAGCTGCAGTGACCCCCACCGGCATTAATTATTGGGAAAAGTATATTTTACTCTCTCAATAGTTCTCCTTTAAATGCTACACTATTGGAGAGCGAGATTCTGCAATGTTGTGGCCAGTGAGGGGTGGGGTGGATTGGGGTGAGGCTATAGGGGCAGGGAAGTACTAGTGAGGCCATAGGGGAGCAGGTAAGTAACACCATTAGTGCAGCCATTGCTAGCAGTTTGCTCCCAGTGGCAAGATCACTAGTGACAGGGTCTCTAGAACGCATGATTTGTATTAGGCTGTATGCCCCCAGAGCTACGTTTTAATATACAGCAATGATAACAAAATCGCCCATATGCATCCCTTACTTGTAAAAGCCGCATACTAGAGGCTTGCCACGTTTCTCTGCCTCATTGAAGCACGCTTCCACCATCTGCGTGTTGGTGCTGAGGAGATTCTCGCACAGGACTGCTTTCCCTTGAAATAAACACACAGAGATCTATGGAAATAATTGCAAGTTCCATGTCTACTTTTAGTTCACATGACAACTGATACGGCACAACGGCCAACGCAGCTACAAGTGTCTACAAGTAGAATATGTTGGTGTAGAATTAAATCATCTGATATTCTATATCACAGCATGGGAAGGATGGTTTATATGGGATAGATTCTGATCAAGTTACTTTTAATATCCAGCAAACACAGTCTCAACATGGAATTAGCCTGATGTCTATTTGATGTGACAGATCTGTCCTTTTCTATAGGTAGTGGGCTGTTATCTGGTAATATTCTGATATCTATGTATTTTAAGGATTGTGGATTGTTCTATTTAAAAACCTGTGAGTGTATCAGTACTTCGTTTATATGCCATTGTTAAGGATGCACAACATAAAGTATAGAATAAGTCATATTAGTACAAAGGAACAAATTGTTTCCGCAGTGGGCTGTGCAAGGACCCAGTGGGGAGAGAAAAGGGGGCTTTTTAGAAACCAGTCCAGACCTCGTATATAAAAGTCTTAGAAAAACATTTATTCACTAAATTGTTGTATACATAGTTTAGAACAGTGGTTCTCAACTCATGGGTCGCGACCCAAAAGTGGGTCGCGACACCTTCTGCAGTGGGTCGCGGCGTCCTTCCTGCAAAGAGCGGCCCATGTTCAGGAGGGAGATATAGAGGGGTGATTTGTGCGAGCCAGCCTGTGGGAACTATATATTGAAAACTGTTCCCACTCATACACCCCCCTGCGCGTGAACTGACCTGGGGAAATCGGGGACTATTTCCTCACTTTCGGGCGGCGGAATAATATCGAGAGAATAATATCGAGAGGAGAATGAGCTGGTCCCACCTCTTAGGGGCGGAGCTAAGAGGGCCGTCTCTTAGCTCCGCCCCCTGTTCGCCAAGACGAGGAAGAGGACCATGGGCCTGCAGGAGAGGAAAGGTAAGTTTGGAGTGGGCACTGGGAAGAGAGAGAGAGTGTGTGTGTGTGTTTTGCTGGGACTTGTAGTCCAGCACAGCTGCTGGTAATCTGCATTGCTGTATGATGATTACACAGCAATGCAGAATAGCACCAACTATGTAGGACTCCAAGTCCCAGCAATGCATTATAGGGTGGGGTTTGGATGCTGGTGGTATTCTGCATACCTTACTTTTATTATAATGTACTGCTGGGACTTGTAGTCCCGCATAGCTGGTGGTATTGTGCATTGCTGTATGAAGATTATGTAGCAATGCAGAATAGCTCCAACTATGTAGGACTACAAGTCCCAGCAATGCATTACATTTTTTAGTAGGGATACACCAGTGTTAATACTGGGCATTTTCACAAGTATTCATACTCGTGAAAATGCCCAGATACTAAACGCAGATACGCCGGCCTAGTCGAATTTGCCGACCTCAGCATCTACTCGTGAAAATGCCCAGATACTAAATGCAGATACCGGTGTTCTGTCGAGAACGCCGGCCTAGTCGAATTTGCCGACCTCAGCATCTGCGCTTACACACAGACCAATATTATCGAGGAAACCG